TGCCTAGTGGCTTTGATGATGCTGAGGATTAATTGGTCTCTACTCAGGCCTCCTTGAGGGAATCACATGCCGGCTTTAAGTAGGACTTTCTGGAGTCTTCAGAGGAGAGTCACTGGTTGATTGGGAGATGGGGACACCTGGAAATGGTCCCAGGGTGAAGTAAACAAGCCGGAATTAGCCTGAAGAGGGGGAGGTGGCAGGGTGCTGAAGAGATGAGGGTTTCCTAGCGTATGAGTGGCTGCCACTGGCCAAATGTGTCTTCTGCCATGAAAGCTTTGAGTTTGACAGTAAGATTTGGAAGCCAGGAATTCCTGAGGGAGATGTTTGCTTCTACGGGGGGTCAATGAGGTGACTTGTAGTCACCATTTGGGGGCCACCTTTACCCAGGTGAGAGCAGCACTGCACTAGAACTGTGTGTGTGCAGGCCTGGTGGCCCGGGGCATGGACAGGGTGACCTCTTAAGGCCTCTGTCGGTCTACGAGTGAGCTTTCCTGCTGGGCTCAGGGGTCAGGTGGCAGCTGTGGGTGTGGTCCCTGGTAACAGATATGAGGGTTGCCACATAGTATGAGGTCAGTGTGTGGCAGCTGCAGGAGCCGAGAAAGGCAGAAGGGCAAGCCCAGGCCTTTTCATGGGGAGAATAGGAGGAATGAGTTCAAAGCATGAAGCGAGGCACATGCTACACATCTTCAGCTGAACTGAGGATCCAGGGACAGGAGAAGTAGGGAGTCAGGACCCGCCAGGATTGGAGCTGACTGTGGAAGAGGCTAGTTTCGCTGATGGCCTCCTGGGGATAACAGACAAAGTAGAGGAACGAGCCAGCCTTGGGAGCTGGGAGGCCTGAGCTTTCACCCAGCCCGGCCACTCCATAGTTCTGTGGCTTTGGGCATGCTGCTTCTCCTTCCAGAGGCTCTTTGTTTCTTAGCTACAAAGTTAGGGGAACTACTGTGTCGCTGAGGGGAATGTAAAGCCTATAGCACCGTGTCTGTTATTCAGGAGGCACTCAATGAAGGACAAGACACCCCTCTTCCATCATGGTCTTCTCAGACCTCAAACATACCACTTCCCAGTGCACTGGGTCAGCGCCTGCATCCGTTCTCCTTGGTGCAAAAGCAGATTGGCTGGGCCATCACACACCCACAGGGGAGCAGTGAGGCCAGGAAGGTAGAGGGAAAGGTGGTCTGGTGCTAACTCAAGTTGAGTAGATGCGGGAAAGGAGATCTGACTCACAGCATCTGAGTTGGTGAAATAAGACGATGCTGTATCAGGGACCTGAGTCTGGCCTTATGCTGGGATTTTTTTTTTTCCTGATGCTGGAAATGTTTATTAGATTTAGATCTATCCAGCTGTACTCTGTTGGCTAATCCTGATTTTCTTGTCAGCACCCACAATGCCACCATCTAACGTGTCTCTTCTCCCTCAGGCCTGGGTGGGGTGGGACCCCCTCCGGAGAGGTGTGTGAGCCTCCCTGGAGCTTACCCAGCTGGGTGCCTGTTCCTTGATGAGAACCCACATGGCATTGACCTCAGGCTTCTTCATGGTTCACTCTGTGGCTGTTGGCATTGGATTTGCATCAAGGTGGCCTCGAGGATGGTCTTCTGAAGGTACTTAGGGTGTCTTGGGTCCTGGAAGATGGGTGACACACGGATCTATTTTTTTTCCTATGGTTATAGACCCTTTCAGCACAACCTTTGTGGCCTTCAAAGCTTTTGCCTTGGTTTCAGTTTTGGGAAGGGCCGGGGCTTCCTTTTTGCTTTCAGCACCATATTCAGTGTCTGAGTGTATCTGACGGCCTGGTGTAGCAGTGCCATCAGGAGCTGGTCTTCAGTGGAGAAAATGTACTGCAAAGGCTGAAGAGACTTCCATGGAAACAGGAGCGGAAGGGAGAGGGCTTCACGATACTGTTTCAGACCCTGTTCCCCTGGCCCAGCCCACACCTGAAGGGATGGAAGGGAGTCTGCAGTGGAAACAGAAGTTGCTGTTTTCCAGGAAGCTCCAAGAGGAAGAAGCAAAAGCATCCTCAAAGGCACCACTTCACAGCAGTGGTCAGCAAGGCCCTGTGCTCCACTGGCTTCTGTTGGTTGACAGTGGAGGGAGGTGTGGGACAGCACGAGAAAGCATTGCACAAGCTCCTGTGAGACTTCGCAGGGTCCTCCAAAATACACCGGCCAAAGATTTTGTGAAAGAAAGGGTCTGGGGAGGCTGCAAGTGCAGGCGGAGCCCCAGCCAGTGAATCCCAGATGACTGCAGGGAATGTGGCCCCACTGGTACCACCAGCTTGTGAGTGCTGGGGATCTCCAAGGGTCAGGTCACATTAGGGTCCTCTGTCTGTTTCACATCTAAAGACCAAATGAGGCCCAATGGCCACTCCAGGGGAGAAGCCAATTCATGACTTTCTTTGTAGTCTATACTAAAGAAGTTCATTAACTGGTCACTTCTTCTATTTTTAGGCTGTGCTTCGATCCCTGCCATTAATTGTCATGAACGAGTTATAAAGGTGGTTGAACTTGACAATTCTGATGGTTTATCCCAGAGAACCAAGCCACAGACAACACTTGGATTTGTAGACTCTTCTGAGTTAGACCAACAGGTCTCCTTGCCCTGACCCAGGGTCCTTCTTATGGCTCTTTGCCCGGAAGTGACAGCAGTAGAATCCTTGCCCCATCTTCTTGCCTGCTCCAAATTGCACCAGTGGTGTGCTCCATCCAGGGTGATTTTCTGGCTAGACATCCCTCTGCCAACCTCTTACCAAAACCTGAGATCTAACATATGATTCAAGAAACAGACAAAGAGGCCTGGAGTCTGGTCAAGGCTCAGTCATCCTTCCTGATGCCCAGTCCCCACCTAGACTCTTGCCCTCATTCCTGGAATCCACCTGGAATCCTTGACAGGTGATCTGCTCCAGTGTGCATCAGGTTTCTCTGATAGGGAATGACAGACTGCTGGCGGCTTCAAGAACAACCACTCACATCAGGCATCAACAAAAGCACACACTGAACATTTAAGCTTTGGGGACCAAATTACAAATAAAAGAATAATTAGCACATTTCTAATTGCTCTTTCCTGCTGTGAACAACAGGCAGAGACATAAAGTGCCTATACCGTACACATAAGCCTCACTCTGAAGCAGGAGAGGGGAGGCTTCTCCCTACAGGAGCCAGCAGAGCACCCCATGTTTATAAATCAAGTCAGGACAAAAGGAAAGAGCTGTGACCAAATCTAACCGACTTAACATTTCCAGCATGTCTCTCTTTGTGGTTATTGTCTTATCAAAGATTTATATCTGTCTCATAAGTATCTTTAAATCCTTGGTCTCTTGTGAGGCCTAAACCCAGGAATTGACATTCTTTAATGTAAATAGAAAATGTTACAGAATGAGTTGAGGTCGGTTTTTAAAAAATATTGCTTTCTTGACTTTTAACCCTGCAGTCTTGCTGACTATTTAATTCTACTTGCAGTTGCTCAGGAATAAGCCTGTGATTTCTTCACTATGACACTGAGATTTAAACACAAACCATTCGCCACTCCAGATAGCGGCTCAGGTCAGGTCTGCTGATGACAGGTCGCAAAGCAGACCCCAGAGTTACTAGGAGGGTGAAAGATGGGTCAGTGACAGTCACATGGATATGGGGAGTCCCCAGGGGATCCGCAAATGAAACCTATTCACAACTCTAGTTTCTGGATCTTTCCCAGGGAAAGAGTTAGTAATGGGTATTAGGTCCCCGGGCCAGTCCCTGGGAACATGTTAAACCCACAGCGTCTTCAGGCTAGTTCTGCTGTGGCTCTAAATATGGAAGAGGGATCCTGTGCCTGCCGTTTTAGAAGCAGGCTGAGGGTCTGGTTGAGGTCACAGAGCTCTACCCATGAGGACAGCTCTAGGGGTTTTACCCGGAGAACAAGGCCCATCCCACACCCTGGCTCTTACACCCGTGGTGTGGCGCCGGACTCCAGCGGGTGGAGACTGAGCGTTGGGTTAGTGTGTGGCAGAGGTGTGGGGTTGGAGGGAGGAGGAGGATGAGGGGACAGGGGACTGTGGAGATGGGATGGAGACAGGGGAAGTGAGGACCATTTACCTTCCTGTTCTCTTTAGTTCTTCCTCCTTATCCCACACTCCCTTGTCCCTTCTCCCTCCCTTTCTCTCTGGCCTCCTCCCTTTCCTGCAGTTGCTGACCCTGCCTTCTGTGAGGCTGGGGGATGGAAACACATTAGGGAGGGAAGGGTCTGGAGGGAGTGAGGAGGACCCCCAGAATGGCAGTGGCCCTCCACCGCCAGCTCACAGGGAATCATCCAGAATGTGCAGACTGTGAGGCCCAGGCCTGGAGTGGCAGCTGCTAGAAACTCGTAGCAAACCTTTTAGGCTGATGAGACAGATGAAGAGAGTGTGTGTGTGTGTATATGTGTGTGTGTGTGTGTGTGTACGTGTGTATATGTGTGTATATGTGTGTGTGTGTGTATAGGCATAATCAGTTCCATCATAGACAAACTCACCCAAGGTTACCTTAAATATGGAGCTCTCCCGGCACATTAAAAACATCACTCACACAGTAGATGTTCAATTTGCACACCTATTTGCAGAGAGACTGCACAAAGTGAGAAACACCAACAGACAAGAGAACTGAAGAAATAACATCTGCTTCTTCGCTTTTCTGGGAATTCCCTCCCCATCACCCCTTTTCTCTTCAGGTTACATTTTTCTAAATAGTAAGAGATTCAGATTTCTATGCCTCACTGGAGTATTGCCTGTAGACTCTGAGCTCCCCGAGGGCAGGGCTGTGTCTGCCTTTACACTGCCCATCCAGTGTCTGGGACATTGCCCAGCCTTGAGTGGGAGCTCAGAAAATAGTTAATGAAGACTGAAATCATTTCCCTTTCATCTCACCTTGTCTTCTTCCCTCCCTGCCCCTGACCCCAGTCCCCCAGTCCCCCAGTCCCCCAGTCCTCCAGTTCCCCAGTCCCCCAGTCCCCCAGTCCTCCAGTTCCCCAGTCCCCCAATTCCCCAGTCTCTCAGTCCCCCAGTCCCCCAGTTCCCCAGGCCCCTGTCCCCCTTTCATCCTGCAAGCTTCCAGATCATGATTTTATCATCTGTCTTTTGTCTTCTTGGTTCATGCTCTCAGGCTCCACAATGCAACTGTGAAGTGAAGTGGCCTTTGGGGATACAGAGAGGAAGGAGGACAGAGAGAGGTGGGGCTTTCCTGTTTCTTCTCAGTGTCCAGGGTGCTTTGGGCTCCAGGTGGGCCTCAGGAGCCAGTATCTGGAAGCTTAGAGAGCTACTGAGAAGAGGGACTATTTCTGGATCAGAGGAGAGAGAGCTGCTGAGGCTGGTTGGGACGGTATTTATAGAGCCAACCTTGGAGAGCAGGGATGCTCATATCCCTGGAACCTGCCCCCGTGTACAAATTTCTAAAGATAGATCAGTGTGGCATCTGGTATGAGACAAGGTACACTAATTCCTTTTAAATCCACCAAGAACTTTCTCCTAATAAATGCCAGCCTATTTTCTCAGTGCTACTTCTTCCCTCTCCCCTCAGTATCTGCCCTGTCCTGTCAGTATCTTGGTTACTGGTAGGTAATAGCTCACTTCCGGGGCCACTGAGGGAGCAAGCCAGGGAGCGACTTGTTTAGAGTGACCCAGCGTCTCTGTGATGGCCCCCAACCCAGGGCTAGAATCAGCAGCAGGTGGAAGAAAGGGGAAGGCAACTCATGTTTTTGAAAGCCTGTCATATGCCAGCACTGTGCTAGGTGACTTACGCACCGTGTCATTTTATCTGTGCACCACCTCTGTGAAGTTGGTGTTATAATGCCCATTTTACAGATGAAGAAAGGAACACTCAGTGGACTCAGTGGCTTGTCTAAGACTGCTCTAAAATGATGGAGATAAGATGCTACTCACCCAACTCAGCCTAAGGGACTGGGAGAAAGGTAGGAGAAGGGTGGTATTTATTCCCAAATTTCAGATATGCATTTAGAACCATTATCCAAAAAGCTAATGGGTGTTAAGATATTTGGTGCCTGCTGTTACTGCTTTTCTCGCTCCCCTTTTGCCATGAAATGAGAATAATTTCTACAAATCAGGCACAGCTTCTGGGGTGTGGGGACAGATGCAGTTCTTACCTCAAATGCAGCCCCTTCTTAGCCATCCTATGAAATGCTCCTCCCACTACCTACCCATCACCTTGGCTGAATGAGGAATTAAATGTATGGGAGGGTACTTGTTGAGCACCTATCATGTGTTGGCCGCCACCTCCATCTCATGGGATAGACGCATTGTTCTATCCCATCTTACCACCAAGGCAACTCCATGAGATCAGCGTTTTCTCTTCTGTTCGCAGATGAAACTTGGGCTTGGAGAACTAAGTAAGTTGCTCAGTGCCCCACCGAGAGTAAGATCAAGCTGAGATCACACCCTCTGGAACGTGTGTGCCCATAGCACCTATCGACTTCCTGGTTCTGGCTGCATCTGGACGCAGTGATCAAATCCAGTGGCAGCCTGTTTGCTCTGGTGTTTTCACTGCTTCTCCATTGACTGTTCTACATCCAACACATCGCCTGTGCAGTAGGTAATGGGATTTGATGGTTAAGGTGACCTCAGCTCCATCAAGCCACAGGCCATTCGCCCCACCCCAGAGCACATGCTGCTTCTAGCTCAGGCCCATAGGGACATCGTGGTCCTCAGTGTTGGAACGTGAATGGGGTGGCCAAGGCTGCTGGAGGCCTGCTCCTCTCCAAGCCTGCAGAGCTCCTCTTAAAGCCTTGGCAACTCTACCTCCAGGCCCTGGTGGGCAGATCTTGGCACTTTTCCTGGGAAGGTAGGACCAAGAGATCAGGGTGGCAAAACCAGCTCATTAGAAATGGAACTCATAGTCTGCGGCGTCCCAGCTGAGAACCTTCCAACCTGTCCTTTCTGATAAATTTAGCTCTATTCATTGGTAAGGACCTGAGTCCTCTTTCTTCTGGAAAACTAATTTCTTTCTTTCTCAACCTACCTGTGCACTTGTTGTGTGCTCTGCACACTCTGGAACTACAATGGCCTTTAGAGTACACAGTCCAAACTCCTAGCCAATTCTGGAATTCCTTCTCCATCTTCTCCACTGTATTCATCCTCTGCTTGGTTCCCTAACCTTCAAAGAAGCCCATTCCTTGATGAGATAGCTCTAAGCATTTGAAAATTTTTCCTCTTTTTGAGCAAAAATATGCCTCTGGACTTTGTTCATGAGAACTCTTCAGATCTTTAAAGAGAATCATCAGGGCTCCTTGGGGTCTCCCCCTTTCCAAACAAAACCTGAGGATTTTCAAGTAACATGGTCTCTAGACCTTTCACCATCCTGAGAATGGCTTCTTCATGTCCCTGTAAGTGGTTCCCAGACCTTAATATAAATCACAGTTGACTGGGGTGCTTGGTAAAAATACTGACTTTAGGGGCCTCATCCTGGAGGGAGGTGGGGAACATGTGTGCTTTTTCAGCAAGTGGAGAAACAAACCCCAAACAGTGTGTTTCTTAGATGCCGTTCCTTTGGAAGACAGTACCAAATAGGGCTGTTTGCAGTTGTATTAGAGAATGTATGTTCAAAAGATTTAAATGACATCATTTTAGCAGTAAGTCGTAGAACACTAGCATGGTCTCCATTACCCTTGAAAAAATGACCAAGGCTCATTAAAATCAAATTCAAGCTAGAAAACATACAAATTAACCAACCATAGTTTTAAAACACTTTTCTGGCTAACATGTTACATCTGCTAGGCTGGAGGCTTGGAATTACCAGATGAGTCATGTGCAGAATTACAGCGATCTGCCCCACAGCCCAGGCTGAAATCTAAATGAAGACCCCTGCAAAGCTACCCAAAGGTCAGGTAGCATGGCAGGAGACATCCTGGCCTTGTGGGGAGAAGCAGGTGGCAGGGAGATTTGGGAGCCCCACCTGGGGCTGCCTGCATTTATCCGCAGTGTCACAATTAACCCTCAGAGCAGCACTGAGAGGGAGTTATTATTCCCATTCTATAAGGGAGGAAACTGGGGCTCAGTAAGACTAAGGCACTCGATTACAGCAGGTCTTGCAGAAAACGTTCCAAACACACGCTCCTTTCCTTCCACCACAATGCATTGTTAGTCATTCTCTTTTTGTTTTATGTATGAAAATCCTAGGTATCCAGGAAACTGTGTGATCACGAGGCTTAGACCATGCGTCTGACCCCTCCCACCCTCACCGTGCCCCACAGGCAGGGTGGGCAAGCCAGTGGCACTCAGGACAGTGTGCTGAAGTGAATTGCATTGGTTCCTAGCATTGTGCGATTCACTAGGGTGTGTGGAAAGAGAAAGTGAGGATGATGCTTTGTGACTCCTCTTGCTGTTTCTGGCTACAAATACCTGCCCCTGCCCAGCTGCCCCTGCCTATTCCTCAAGGATGTTCAGGGAGGGGTCTCTAAAGAGACCAGCTGGTAAAGAGATATTGTACCAGCATTATTATAATTGTTATTAAAAGCCACTGGTTTTACTGGGGCCCATTGTTACTCAGAAAGAGTCTCTCAACCTAGCCCTGGCTTTCGACCTTCAACTCCTTCACATCCCAGTGCCCTTTGCTTGTAGAAATGAGTCAAATGGTTGAGCTTTTGCACAAGATTATGATGAAGGAAGCAGATTATGTTAGGAAGCAGATTTAGCAGTCAGCTCTATTTTCCTTTGTGTGGAGTTTCTTATCTTGTCTGTGTCCTCAAGTGTCACCACTGTGACCACTCTAATCGTGTGTTTGCTATGATGTGGAGAAGAAAATGGATGATAGGAGAGAGTCCAGCGGTTTTGCATCTGCCCCAGCAGAGCTAGGGGTAGAACCTGCCATACAACTGTCGCCATGGTCCCAGTGGAGCAACACAGGGCTCAGTAGGGGTGAGCCCAACTTCAGGAAGTTATGTCTTGCAATTGAAGGAGGATGGGCAGGGGTCAGGGGCTCTGAAAACCTAACAGTCTAGAGCAGTGGCTCCCAGACCTTAGCATAAATCACAGTCGACTGGGGTGCTTGGTAAAAGTACTGATTTTAGGGGCCCTATTTTAGAAATCCTGCCAATGACAAGAACATATGCTGTGTGCTGCTTGCTACACCAAGGATGTTGCTAAGAGCATCACAGGTACCAACTCACCTGGTCTTCACAACCACCCCCACTGAGCAAGCACTCCTCTTTCCATCGTTCATGTGAAGATACTTGAGGATACGGAGAGATACGGCATGTTAGGAGGCAGAGCTGGGACTCGAAAAGTCCCTGTTCTTCCCTCTCTTCCTGGGCAGGAGGTTTGCGAAGGGCCTTGGAAGCTGCATCTTCTAAGCTAGTGCAGGCAGTCTAGAGAGTCTGGAGCATGTGCACTCTGAGGCTAGGGATACTCATCACAGCCCACTTGCCCTGACATACCAGAGAGGTGTCCATTTAGTGATTTAACCTCCTCTGTACAATGCCCCAGGGACCCCAATCTCCTTGGGATCTTAATCTTCTCAGTGACACAGTAGAGGCTGCAGAGAAGAGCGAATTCATGAGGGTCATGCTGGGTTAGTCTGACGGGCGTCGACCACACTCGGCACGGTGGGAAGACCACCATCGTCTTTGTCTGCATCAGCAAACTTTGGATGAGCCACGGAGTGCTGAATTCCAGTGGACACTGGGGACGCAGAAAGGATGAGACTGGGTCCTTGAGTTTATGTGGGGGCGTCAGGGGATGCTCAGTAATGAAACCCAGTCCAGTCTTTTGTTTCAGGCCGCAGAAACGCTCAGGCCTGGCCTGTGAAGTCTATTCTTTGTATTTTAACCTCTGTGGTCTCATAGCCTCCGAATCCTTGATTCATGCCTTGTATGTTAGTCTGGGTGTTCTCAAATGTTAGTCTTTTGGATATCATCTTAAAGAGACTTTCTATGATATGAGTACCACTTGCACAATTATTAACTGAATATATTTGAAACTGACTTACACTTTTTTACTTACAATTAATTGTTTTAAAAGGAAATTTTTGTGTTATATATTTTTTTCTAGTGTACAGAACAATGATTCTCAAGCACAGAATCCAGCCAGGGGTGAAATCTTATGACTCAAATGTCCCTATAACCCCACAGGAACAAAGGGAACAAACGGAGGGTTCACCAGAGTGGGATCCCAATGGGGGGAAATTGGAATTGAAGGAGAGAAGGAGGAGCATCCTGGTACCAGCCAGATTCATCTCAAGTCCATGTTCCATGCTTTCGGAAACACCGCCCAGGCCATGCACCCCAGCCTGTGCTTTCTGAAACAAGCTATGCCATTCTGCTCCTCCGAGTGTTCACTCACCCTGTTTGCTCCTCCTGGGGGTCCTTACCCGCGCAAGAGACTGGGAGAAAAGAGCATCATCGTCCATGGTACCACCCCTTCCCAACAGCACTTCCCTCCACCTGCCTTTCTCCTGCTCACGTGCGTCTTCTCATTCTGCCTAAAGAATGTCCACTCTTCTTTGAGGTTTTGCTCCATTGCGGACTCCTGGCGATGCCATTCTGGTCACCCCCAGGCAGAGTTGCTCTGCCTGCCCCACTCCCACAGCACTTTGAGCATCTCCCCATGCTCTGTTAGGAAGCAGGGACTGGACAGAGATGCTTGCGGGCATCTCTGTATTTCTGGTACCTAGCAGAGCTGAGTTTTTCTAATGATGATTTTGGAACGGTCATCATGTGCCAGAGTTTGTGCTAAGAGCTTTAGGTATATTACCTCATGCATTCCTGCAGCAACATTTATCCCCATTTTACAGGTCAGGAAATCGAGGCTCAGAGAGCTTAAAGTTGCCTGACATCATACAGAAAGTAAAGAGTGGAGATTCACACCCAGGTCTGTTGGATTTCAGGGCCTCTGTACGTCTTAACACTGCACCATTCAGCCATGGTCACTGGAGGACAACATATGTTTGGAGTATAAATAAATGGTACAAATGAATGAATGAGTGAGTGAAAGAACATAGAATGGTGTTTGCCGGGGCTATACACGTCCAGCCTGAGCTGGCCCGGATTCATTCGGCGGGAGGTGATTGTAAAATGTGTTGAGAATGAATAATAACATGCTCTGGTTTTGGAATACCAAGAAAAAGCCCAGAATTTGTGGGCCAGTGGAAGTGAGAAAGGAACCAACACTGAAGGTGGCGTTTTGCTTCTTGTACCTCAGCTGCCTCCAAAGGATTAACTTCTTGAGAGCAGGGCCCGCTTTGCGTCCTCAGTTTATAATCCTGCTCCTGGCAAAAAGTGGGTGTTCAGTGGATGCCCATGCAATTCAGCCGTTAAATCTGAGCCTATTCCTTTTATGCACTGGTTCATGGTAGGCCTGGTTCAGCACTTGGTTTCACTGTCTGCTTCTGCACAGGGCTTCATGCTGCCAGCACTCAATGGAGAAACTTGGGCCCCGGCACAGTGGACCCTATGATTCGCAAGTATAGGATCCAGCCAGGGGTGAAATCCTGCCACTCAAATGTCCCTGTAATCCCCGTGGAATGAAGGGAACAAAGGGAGGGGTCGCCAGAGTGGGATCCCAATGGAAGGAAATTGGAATTGAAGGAGAGAAGGAGGGGCATCCTGGTACCAGCCAGATTCATCTCAAGTCCACGTTCCATGCTTTCCCCATTCTGAGCCTTGGTTCCCTCTAACTCGATAGACTGGATTCTTGGAAGTCCTTCCTGATGCGACATTTGCCAGCCTAGGATCCAGCCAGAAGTGAGGCTTGCAGACCCAGCTCCCTGAGACACAAATGCAGGTCTTCCTGAATGGGGCTGGGGCCATTAAAAACACTGTCCTCATGCCCCCTTCCTCCAGCAGGTTACTCCTGGCACAGCTGGGAGAGTGATCTGCTTCTTCTGCTCAGACAGCAGGCCTTGGAAATTATTCAGGAATAACAAACAGGCCAGAAACATTTGCATACGGAATCACGCAGAACAATACATGTTATTTAAACCATCTCTGGTTGGCAACAGAAGCAAAAAGCAGCTGAGATAAATCTGCAATGCAAATCAGCCTTATTTGGAGCGGAGCCTCAGCTTGTTTTGGGGGTGGGGGCGCTGCAAGAGGCCGGGAGAAGAGAAGGCATCATTGTTTCTATGTACCCCCCTTCCCAACAACACTTTTCTCTGCCTGCCTTTCTCCTGCTCACGTACATTTTCTCATTTCTCTCCTTCCCTCCCTTCTTCAGAGATTAATGGAAACAATTTGTCTTCTAATGTGACTGCAGCTTATGAATTCTTTGTCTCACTCTAATCCTTTAAATTATCCACATAATAAAATATGTATCCAGTGATTTCAGGTCATAATTTGATCTTCTAGGGAGAGTGGGGAGGGGGAGGGGAGCTGAATCGAGCCCTTCTCACAGTTTCTCTCCATTTGTCTTTATTTGTCATTGTTTCTGCTTAATGATCTTCCCCTTTCCTCCGCTGGCTCTTGTGGGCACCACACTTCCTTAGTGTGCCTGGGGCCTTGGGGTATGGGAAGGGCGCTTTGCAGAACCTGGGAGGTGAGAGGCAGCTCCCCACCCGGGGGATGGGGCCGTTCTCCTGCTCCCCTTTCTGACCTGCTCCACGAGGGATGGTAGCTTCCTTCCTGATTGATTCCACCTCTGCATGGGCAACCAATTCTGGAGCACTAGGCTGAAGGCTGCTCCAACTGCCTCAGCTCCAAAGGGGTCTTTAAACCCCCTGGGCTCCTTCTGTAGGTATCAAGGGGGTGATAATTCAATATTCACTAATCTGGGTGTCACCCATCATCTGCAAGACACCCCACCAATACTCCAAGATTCCCAGTGCTGGCTGCCCTCCAAGTCAGTTAGGGGTTGACTTTCCTACTGCCTTTCTGGAGAGAGGTGCTCCAGGAATTGCCAACCCTGGTGGGCCGTGCATGAAGCCCGCCCTCCCTGAAGCCCTCCCTGAAGTCCATGTGGAGGATGGACAAGGCCCCCCTCAGGGCCACGGTGTACAATATACATTTGTGACTTGCACAAGATGCTGAGCCAAGGCAGGACAGAGAAGGGCTGAAGCACGTACTGAACCATGGGCCTTCTGGCCTCACCTGCCTGGGGGCAGCCTTGTTACAGTTTGCACAGTAGCATTTTATAATTTGCACAAAAGCTTCCCAATTTGCCCTCGTCGCTATTCTGATTGCAGGTTGTGTCCTGGGCCCTGAAGTCGCCTTGCCTATGTTCCCGTGACTCAGGACATCCTGGTGAAAACTGCTGCTTCAGTATCCACTCTCGGGCCTCGTGCGGAGGGTATAGGACACACACTTGCCCACCAAACAGGCAGTGATCACGATGAACACCTGAGACAGCAGCTCCGCCCCACCCTTTGCACTGCGCAAGCACCTTCCTGCGTCTCTAGCAACTCCTCTCTCTGGACCAACAGCCTGCACTTCACCTCACCGTAAACAGAAGCTCTCCTGTCACAGAGGTAGGATACTGTCCAGCTTTGTACCCGGGGAAACCTATAAAATGAAAGACCCCATTGAGGGGTCCGGGAGACCCAGGTGCACCTGGTGTATGGGAGAAGCAGCTGAGGGCAGTGCAAAGAGCTTGGTGTTCTTCAGGGTGGTCTGAAAGGTCTTGGAGCAGAGGGTGGCAGGAATGGAAGGGTGGGCTGCAGGGGCCCAGTGGGTGACCACAGGCATGTCTGTGGACTGGAAGTGACAACTAGGAAGTGAATGGGTAACAGCCCAGGTATAAGAGGAGTCCAGCCCTGACTGTTTTATCCGCAGGTTTGAAATACAAAACCGGAAAGCGGCGTCTTTGTGTAACTCATTGGAAGGCAAAGCCTGCCCTGAACCGAGGCTATTTATAGTCTGTTACTTATCCCGCTTGGTGTGAATATTCATGCCTCTCTCTGCAGAGGTATTAGGGTGCCTGATTGCAGGGAGTTGCCCAGCAAGGGCTGGGATGGAACATACTACAGGGGGTAAGCATCACATCATTCTTCTAAAATCGAACCCTTCCAAATTCCAAGACACATTGGGCCCCCAGGCTCTGGATGAGGAGCTGTGGGCCTGTGACATGTGGATGCACAGTGTGAGGGGTGGCCTTGAGGACAGAAAGGCAGGAAGGAGGGGCCTGACCCTGACTGGACCTGGGAATGAGGAAGAGGACAAGGGACGAAGGGGTGGATGTGGGGGCGTGCTCTGTCATTGTGACTGGAGGGTGGGGCAGGAGCCCTTTTTCACCTTTCTAGGAATGGTGATGAGTCCACTTAGACATTTTCTATCAGAGACTATATTAGAAAGGGACCTTGGACTGCACTCTCTCCACCGAGAAAACAGGTGTACGTTGCAGACGAGGCCTGGGCCAGGCCCCTGGAAGAGCTGCTGGGGTCATGACTGTTGGGTGACCTGCCGCTCAGGGGGCTGGATTTGTGGCTGCTGTCCCGCCGTCCCGGCTGCAAGCCTGTCCTTGGCCTCTCTGGTGTGGTGGGGCCATCCCAAAAGCGGGGCTTTGAGGAAAACCGATCAGTAGGTCAGGACAGCATAGCACTCTAGATGGTTTGATCCCATGCCCTGAGAAACAGCTGGCAGAGGCAACCCAGGTGGGGTATCCAGCAGCATGGAAAGGAGGAAGGTACGGATTCTCTGGGGCTCACCAGGGCCCCCCAAAACTCAAAGAGCTAAAAAGGGTGCGCTGTGGAGGACAGGGAGCGGGGAGGGAATTGGAGAGAAGGAGCCTCAAATGAGGAGGCGGGGTGTGCAGTGGTTGGAGCCTGGACTGGACTCTGGTCTTGGCTGCACTCCTGGCTCCCTGCTGACTGGCTGTGTGGTTTTGGACAAGATGCTTGACTTCTCTGTGTCTCATCCTCTGGAATGGAGATACCAAGAGTCCTAACCTTATAGGGCTGTCCAGGAAGAGGACAGGAATTAGTATTTGTTAATGCATATAAAGGTGCTGGGAATGTATTATATTCTATAAAAATGAAGAGCCCAGCCATAAAAAGGAAGGAGTTCTGCTACATGTTACAACATGGATGAACACTGAAAACATTATCCTAAGTGAAATAAGCCAGAGACAAAACGACAAATATGACTCCATTTATGAAATACCTAGGACCGAAAATTTACAAAGTAAATTCTATGAATAGGTTACCAAGAACTCGGGGAAGGAGGAATGGGGAGTTATGGCTTAATGGATACAGAGTTTCTGTTTAGGGTGGTGAAAAGTGTTGGCATAGATAGTGGTGATGGTTATACAACATTGTGAATGTGATTAATGCCACTGAATTGTGTACTTCAAAAGGTTAAAATGACAAATTTTATGTTGTATATATTTTAACACAATTTTAAAAAATGAGAATGTAATATACCAAAACCCATTGAATTATATGCTTTCAGTGGATGAATTATATTGCAATATACTGTTACCAAAAAGAAAAGGAACAGAGGAGAGAAAGGGTCTGGTGAGGAGGGTTAGAGAACCCTCCCCTGAGCACCTGTCTTCCTTCACACCTGAGACCACTGCTGTTTCAGCTTTTATGTGTTTATAGCCTTGAAAGTGGCCTTACACTTTGCCCTCAGGCAACCCATGTGAGGTGGGCATTGAGAAATCGTTATTTGCGTTTTCAAATGGGGAATTAAGGCCCTGAAAGGCTGAGTGACTTTCTCGGGTGTTGATTTTGGATTTTTCACTCTCTGGGGTCTTTTCAGCGACCACAGTTCTCAAATGTGAGCACCTGTGAGATTCACTCTGTGCTTGTTTGGAAAATCAGTGTCTGATCCTCTGCTTGGGACTTCTCTGAGCAGATGGGGCCCAGGACCTGTGGTTGAGTGGGTCACACATTGGAAAACAAGGCTTCAGGCAATGCTCTTTTAAGAACTAGGATAAAATTCTTCCCAAGGGTCCTCTGCCTCCCTATCCTACACGGCCTTGCCGCCCCTGAATCTTTCTCAGCTACAGTGCACTGTGAGGCAGGGGCAGGAATGCTACAGAGAGGCTGGAAAATGTCCAGACATCAAGTCACATGGCTGGGATACTTCAGTCCCTGGTCCCCTTACAGTGCAGTGAGTTCCCCACGAGGCTGTTCATTTCCCTGCCTCCCCCTGAGGGACAGGCAGTACCCTGCTGTCAGGATGCAAAAGCTTTTAAAAAACTTTTCCTCAAAGAATACTCCAGAGTTGCTTTGGTGCTTAGGATCTTACAGAACATCCAAACATCCGGTCCAATCCCTTCACTTTATGGAAAGAGAAACTGACTCAAAGCAAGGGAAAGTGGCCCAGACCTGACTTCCAGGCTCCTCTCTCCTCTAAATTCAGTACCACTGCTCCTCGCCAGCCTCCATCATCACCTCCTGCTCCTCATTCCAGGCTAAAAAAATTCTCTTTCCTGAGGACTCACACATTTTAAATATTTGGAGACTGTTGTCATGTCACCCTGTGGCTGTTGCTTAGCCCAGCAGTCCAGCAATGGATATTTAAAGCTGTGATTTTTTTTTTGTTTTGTTTTGTTTTCTTGTTCAAGGCAGCCTTCCCTGCCTGCCTCCTCCCTTCCTCCCATCCTGGGGTTGCTGTACGTCAGCTTCTCATTCTGCTGGTCCCTGTCCTCCCCCTTCAGGAGGCTGGTGTGGCTGGAAGAGTTTCTGAGATGAAGGGTGGGGGCTCCTCAGGGGTGCCGGCCACAGGGAGGGGCCTCTTGCCACCTAGAAGTGGACCTGGAGCCATCCCTCCATACCCTGAGCCTGGATGCTGAGCATGGGGCCATCCAGGGGTCCCCAAAGCCCCTTCATACCACTGAAGAAGTTGGAGGAATGTAGTCAATGAATCCAGGCTACAGGCAATGGAGTCCAGCTCTTGTGTGATCCTGGGCCTCAGTTTCCCCATCTGTACACCAGGATAACAATCTCCATCTTAAAGGGAGATCAGAGCTAGGACCTCCACCGTTACCCTGACGTTGTATACAGGTGGTATTTTCTGATCTCCAAAGTGGAATGAGTGTGACAAAACAATTTAGGGGCACAATGGGGGAGATGATTTGAAATTGAACCTTTCTTGAAAAGTCCATAATGTATAGTTTGGTTTTTGTTTCCCTTGGTGAAAAAGGATATTTAATTATAACTATTAACCAGCAAAGCAATATTCACTTATTCAGCATATAATAGTTTAGTTCATATACTGTATTTTCATTTAATTCCCACATGTATTAAGGCAAGTATTATTATTAATACTCTTATTTTTCCTGAGATTCCCATTTTACAGATGAGAAAATTAAGCTTAGAAAGGTTAATTGACTTTACCAAGGGAATCTAGTGGGCAGAACTAGGGCTAAATCTCCAAGTCTTG